TACATGTACAAGTACGTTTACAAAGGACCTGACCAAGCAACACTCCGTATGGTACGGAACGAAAACGGTTTCGATAACAGAGTGATTGACGAGATCGACGAATTCGTGAACGCTAGATACGTGTGCGCACCGGAAGCTGTTCATAGACTCCTTGGATTTGATCTCCAATCAAAGTCACACACCGTCTGTAGATTGCAGGTTCACTTGCCAGACTATCAGAATGTGACATTCCAAGGAGGTAGGGAAGAAGAGGCAGTCCGTGGAGCAGACGACCAAGACACAACACTCACGGCATTCTTCAAATTGAACGAGGAAACGAACTTTTATGTGGTAAACTCATTGCCCCAGGTGCCAGAACTCTTCTCATTTGACCAGAAGGAACGGAAGTGGAAAATGAGACTAAGACAAAATCGTCAAATTGGGAGGATGTATACAGCGGATCCTTCAGATGTAGAACGGTACAGCCTCCGAATTCTACTCTTGAATAGGAGAGGGCCAAAATCATTCAGCGACCTGAGGACAGTCGACGGAGTTGTTCACGACACTTTTAAAGAAGCAGCTAAGGCTTTAGGGTTGATGAATGATGATTCTCACTACGAAAGCTGCTTACGCGAAGCATCGGAGTTCCATATGCCAGCTCAACTTCGGTCCCTCTTCAGTAGCCTTCTATGGTTCTGCTCTGTTAGTGAGCCAGAGCAGTTGTGGGATAAATTCAAGAGAATGTTAGCAGAGGACTACATTCATAGAGGAATTGGTGAAGAAGAAGGTGTTGTGCGGGCCTACTATGATATTATAGATAAGATGGCCGTCTGCGGTAAAAACCTAATGAGCATAATCAGTCCATCTTCTCATGAAAGGCCTTCACTGCTCAATGAGGAAGAGTTTACGGTAGACGAACACACTGCGCACGGAAGATGATAGCTCAACTCAACGTGCAACAGAAGGCAGCAGCTGATTCCATTTTATCAACCGTTGACGATGGTAGTCACCATCTTCATTGATGGTCCTGGAGGCAGTGGAAAAACGTTTCTGTACAGTGCATTGTACCACACACTGCTAGGGATGAGGAAGAATGTGATTTGTGTGGCTTGGACGGGAATTCGCCAATCTGCTGCCGAATGGAAGAACGGTGAGTAGTGCCTTTAAACTCAATATTCATGACAACAATAGGACATGCTCGATGAAAAGGCAGTCAGCAGAGGCCAACACTCTCCGTAACGTGTCCGTCATATTTTGGGATGAGATATCCATGGTGCCGAAGTGGACTTTTGAAGCTGTGGACCTCTTGCTGAGAGATGTAATGCAGAATAATGTGCCGTTCGGAGGAAAATTGATGATCGTCGGAGGGGATTTCAGGCAGGTACTTCCAGTTGTAGAAAGAGGCCGACAAGAAGACCTGGAAGGTGCCTGTATCAAGAATTCTTATTTGTGGCAGCATTTTGTAACATTTCACCTTTCGATCAACATGCGTACATCATCGTCTGATACAGAATGGGCTGAAATGCTTCTTAAGATCGGCAATGGAACATATCCGGAAGACGGGAATGGTCTAATTCAACTGCCCGACGGAATCAAGAGTGATGGGGACTTGGTCACAGAAATTTTTGGAGAAAGAATAGGAGTTGCCGACGTCGAAAATCTAGCAGAGAAAGCAATTCTCGCACCCAAAAATATACATGTAGCCCATATGAGCGAACTCTGTCTTCAGCGAATGCCTGAACACTTAGAAATGAAAACATACAAAAGCGTGGACGAAGCGGAGCACTGTGACTCGGATGATGTCCTCAACTATCCACTAGAATTCCTAAATCAACTGAGCCCCAGTGAAATGCCGCCGCACGAGTTGAGATTAAAGCAAGGGTGCATCGTGATGTTGCTGCGGAACCTCGACGTTGCTAAGGGTCTCTGCAATGGGACGAGACTGATAGTCGATCAGTGCGGCCGATTGCCGGTTTGCGACAGGGAGTAGGAAGAACCAATACATCCTGCTCTCTCGGATTGACAACTACACCTATAGTGGTCTGCCATTCGCCTAAGAAGACGTCAATTCCCTACTCGTCTCGCCTTTGCAACAACTATCAACAAGGCTCAAGGAAAGACATTATCGAAAGTCGGAGTATATCTTCCTGATGACGTTTTTTCCCATGGTCAACTTTATGTTGCGCTATCGAGAGTTCGCAGCCCGTGTCAATCAAAGTGCTCTCTCCACGAGAGAAGGTTCGAAATATATTCTACAAAAATGTCTTATGAATGAGCGAAAACCGAGACTACGAAAAGAAAAGGATTAAAGGCTACAACTCATGTCCGTTCTACATACAGGATACGAAAGGTTAGCCAAAAATACACCAATAGAAAATATAATTTTAATTCAAATGTCACCATTGCATTAAAGCAGAAAGTCTGTTAATGAACGGCTCTGCGCAAGGGTGCCTACAATCCACTCACCATGTTTTTATTGTTAGAGGGGAAGTTTTAATCAGGAAACGCAAAAGAAGATGTATGGTAATCAACAAAAAGGTCGAAAAAAGTGAAACAATAGAACTTCATGCTATGTTGAAGATCCCTTATAGAAAAAAAGAACATGAGTGAAGAAGCGTAGAGTAGGCATCCATCAAAGGTAGAGGGGTGTCACCCTATTTGAATCCACATTGAGCAGAAAAAATACACAATGTTCCATTTACAAGCACAGTCGCGTAATCGTATGAAACGAATATTTCAGAGTCAGTGAAGTGGAGCAGTGACAATTGAGTTCGAGCAAAAATTTCGGAACGGCATGTACAACAAACACGTTTTTCGGAATACTCGCAGGTAAACGCTCATCGAAAAGGGTTCCTACAGAACTGACTACGTTGACTGAAGATGCACTCAGAAAGAGCATTCGGATAGAGTGGTTGAAAGGATTATCAGTCTTTAAGTTGATCCAAAGTTTTCCGAAAGGTACGCGTGACATCAGTGCTCCTACCGACCATCAACACAGTTTTCGGCAAAGGAAATCAGTTTCTTACAGATATAAAAGCATCCTAGGCTCTGGTTGAACTATGTGGCGTGGTGAGGTGAGGAACTGACGCATTCGGCACAATGAAAACTTTTTTCAAAAGGCTGTCTCGATAAATATGACCTGGATTTGAGAAGAAATTTCGGAACGGCATGTGTTTCAAGCATACATTTTTTGAATACCCCTAGATCATTGCCCCTCGGAGGTATTGGTTCTTACAGAGCTGATTGCGTTGACTGAAGGTGCTCCCCAATGGAGCATTCGGGTAAAGTGGTTGAAAGTGTTATCAGTTCCTCAGTTGATCCGAAATTTTCCAAGAGGTATGTGTTACATGAGTATCACTTATGACCATCAACGTACAACTCGCCAGAGAAAATCTGATTCTTGCAGACCCAAAGGCATCCCTGGCACTGGCTAAACTATGTGGTGCGGTGAGGTGAGGAATTGACGCTCTCCGCAGAACTGGAAATTAGAAGAGGCTGCATCGGTGAATCCGGCTATTGAGTTTCAGCGAAAATTTCGGAACGGTATGTACACCAGGCATACGTTTTCGGAACACTCCCAGGTAGATGTCCATTGAGAAGAGCGGTTCTTACAGAACTGACTGTGTTGACTGAAGGTGCTCCCCAATGGAGCATTCGGGTAGAATGGTTGAAAGGTTTATCTGTACATTAGTTGGTCCGAAATTTCCAAGAGGTACGCTTTCGGTGAATATCCCTAACGGCCATCAACACCAGAGGAATTCAGTTTCTAACAGAATTGATGGCATCACTGGCTCTAACTAAATCTATGTGGTGTCGTGAGGTGAGGAGCTGATGCTCTCGGAGGAATTAAAACTTTTTTAAAGAGGCTGCATCGGTAAATCTAACCCGAATTTGAACCAAAATTCAAGCACGGTATGTTTTTTTTAACATGCTATTTTGAACACCCCTATAAGATTCTTTCGGGAAGACGAAACTCTCACTGAACCGACTGAGAACACGGCTCATTCTGAATTATAACTTTTCATGTGAAACGGAATTTTCAAAAAAATGCGCGTCGCATGATTATTGTGGCCCTAATGCCATTATACTTCTGCTATTTTCGTTGGTAAGGAAGGTAAGGTAAGGAAATCTATCTCTCCGCGGATGTGAAGCAATTTCGACCGCCTCACTAAGTCTGACACTTTCGAGTGGGTCAAACTTTTCTAATGTATGAACTCCAGTCACAAAGATTTTTTGTCATAAAAAGTGTTAGTCATTATTAGGATGGAATAGTTTCATTTTATATTCATCAAAAGGAAATCTCAGATTGTTTGTAGCAATCTTTGTCCTTATTGCATAAGAAGGAGAATGCCCGGCGTAGCCGGGCATCACCTAAGAAGGAGGAGAGCCCGGCGTTAGGTGGGCGATCCGACTGGTTAGTAATAAAAGAGATGGAATGAAGGACAAAGGGCGGGGTAAAAGAGGATAGTCAGCAAAACGTCAAAGAGGCAATCGAATGAGAGCAAAGTTCACGGTTACGATCGACAGTGATCATCGAAATCCGATTGGTAGAATCAAACTTATGGGGGAAACGTGCAGGGGAGAACCAAAAAATTACTACCCCAACAGTTGTGTTGAAGTTTGCTTCATCAACGGTATTGATAATAAAAAGAGAAAGAGGCAGCACTTAAAGCTAAATTGACACTAGTAATAACAAAGAGTAATAACTAACAGAGAGCAATGGCACGGAAACGATTTACTAGTGCCACCGCCGACTACTATGTCGAAGGATGAAAAATTAGGAAAAGCACAGATTTTTTATGATTATTGCAGGACGCATATCTGTAGTGAGCCAAAGACGACCACGTTCTCATTGGCCAAGTTACAAGTAAACATGGCACTTCTTCAGAATCAGAATTGTAAAAATGAGATGAATAATGGATATTAAAAACGTAGGTGGACATAACACAAAGGGAACAAGAAAGCTGGAAAAATTGTTGGAAATTGCATCCACTGCAACTCAAGAGTTTACACATCTCGAGAAAGAAATTAATTTTTTCGAGGAGCAACACGACTGAAAAAATGCAACAAAACAGCAGAACGAAGTGAAGGCGGTTGCTATAACTGCTCCAGGGAAAAGTTAGAGATTTGAGTTCCAAAGAACAGAGTGAGGGCCTTTTAAAAATTGGTGAAAACTCAGGACTTTTAAATAGTATGACGAGGTGTTTGTGGAAGTAATAGGTTTCAGAAACTTAGCGGAAATACTAGGTTCATTAAATAACTCACCAAGAAAACGCTCCCAAAAAAAAAAAAACGAAGCCCCACCTTTTTTACGACGGTCCTGTTCCCTTTGACCTAGAGCGTTCAAGTCAAGTAGACGCACAGAAGTCAGGATGGAAGCACTTACGGTGGACGGCAGAACTGCATTCCACCCACAGGGGGCGGGACGTGCGCAAAATTTCCACTTCAGCCTTGAAGCAAAATTTCGAAATCACGGTAATTAGTTGGTTATAAACTGAGTTACTCAACCACACAGGACCTAAGCAGGTCTGTTCATGATGGATGCGGCGCGCACGAAATGTGTCAGGTGACTGTGTCTCTGGCTGGGAATGAATAATTCTGGTCCCATCAACGAATCCTCCAGGTATGAAGAAGATGCAGGCGGGTAGCCAATACAAACAAAAAAAGGAGTAGAGGCCGCCGTCTGCCGGGCGATTCGACTGGTTAAGAACAAGACTGAGAAAAGACGTAAAACACTGTTTATACGAACAGAAGTGTCAAAGAAGTGCTGACAGTGAATTTATGAAGGATATAAACAGAAAATGTTGGGCACGAAAAAAGTTCATTTTAAGACCGGGAAAAGAAATATATAGAAATGCTAGAAAACTTTCTAAAAAAGGACTCCTCATAAACGGGAGTAAAACGGTCCAGCTTTGAGATCTAGGATAAATGTTGGAAGATCCGATGTTTCCGGCAAAAAAAGCTCCCAGTCACATCAAGAGAGTCTCGAACTTATCAGAAATTCCTCAGATGACCCAGTGATGAAAGTCGCACAGATTCGTGGAAAACCCCTACCCAGGGTTTTCAAAACATGATACTATCATTTTTCCAGACGAGGAAAAACGGAAGTCGGGAATAGAACTATTCAGACTGTAAAAAACGCCCCCTTAAGAGGAGCATCTTTCCCGTGAAGCCTTTTAATAATGAGCTCAACTGGAACTGAAATTAGAAGTAGGGAGAAGTAGAAAGTTCAGATAGAACAGTGAAGATCGATCGATGGTTGGACCAGAACCAGCAAAGTGTTGGGGATCAATCCGCCTGCACTTTGAACTTCGAACTGTTCGGTGCCGAAAGAACGTGTGTGATGGCCGATCGAACATGAACGTAGTCAATCGAGAATGTGCAGAATGTGGCTATACGTTTTTTGCTTTACTTTACTCCAGAAAAAATGTTAAAGCTGGAGCTACACAATGAAACTTGTGCTGTTGTCCTCCCAGGCCTATACACTCCTGCATCGTTTGCCAACGTGCTGAGAGAGTCCCGCTAATCAGTTGCCAGGAAAAAGCTAGAACAGTACCCGGTGTTTTCATCTACATGGTGGATTTTTGAGTTTTGCGGACGCAGTATTTATAAAACTGGACTTTGAAGGCGTGCGTAGGTTATTCCTATGGGAACTTCGATTGCGATGCTATTATCGAATGATACTATCCCTGAAGAAAAAGTTGTTCATCTTCACCCACATAGGTGTGGGAGAAGTCGCGTTTCCTCCCAAGCTTGGCGGGTCCATTCAAGTCGAGCAGAAGTGGCGAAAGTTTACCTAGTGAACTTCCCCTAGCTCTTCTCCAAGTTTTTATTCCAGCAATGAGGAGACCTGATTTTAATAATGGTAAAATTCTTGGTGAAGCTGTCTGTATCCGTTGAAATGTCAGTGGTATCTGAGCTATTGAGTCAGGCAGTGGAAGATGTTTCTGTAGCGATAATCTCTAGAAGATCGAAGGATGAGTATACGGGTATTTGAGCATGTGTGAGAAACGAAGCTGGTATGGAAATTACTGAAATGAACCAGAATGGCGGTAAATCAGATAAGCAGCCAAGACAATTATTTCTGCTAAGGAGTACAACACCGAAAGCACTGCCGTGACGATCGTAGTGAGTGCCCCCTCACACCATCTGTTAGCGAATCACAAGAAAAAACAACTCAAAACATTTCTAACGGTACAGCCGGTACAAATAACGCTTCCACTTCATTTCCTAAATGATTACCGGTGAAACTATCACCGTCCACATTCAACGACAGCGGAAATCCAAAGTGGCAGAACAAGTTGGAGGATCGTCATCAATAACAACAATAACTCCTTCACTCATCCTTATGAGAGAAACACTGAATATCGCGAACCACCTTCGACTACGTTCAGTCATATTCATTCCCTGAAGCTATGGGTAGACTAATGTCTCGGTAGCTGTGGAACCCGTACACTCTGATGCAAACAAAATAGAATCGTAGAACCCCAACCTTTCCTCACATCACAGAAGTGAGGAGTACGGCGAGCTTTTGGATTTTTAAACTCTTTCGATAGGTTAATCTCTGCAAAAGTTCGATGTGGCTCGGAGGAATGCTCTTCAACTTACATCGAGCTATATCAGAAATTAACCTAACTGCTATGTCGATAGGAATGTACAGCAACCCCTCCTCCCTAACACTGGTGGGTAAAGAGTAGAGAAGAGTAGACGGCACTGCGAAATTGCAATGATGTCTACAAACGTTTTTTAGCCAGAGGATAAATTTTTTTACCTGAGCCCAAGAGAGGAGGAGCACCGGGTTGGGTGAAATGGTTACCTTGTGTCGGGAACTGGGCTGGTAGAGAATTTAAGCACTAAGTAGCCCACTGGTTCATTTTTCCAAAAGTGAGAGCGGTAGTGTGCTGAGATGCTAATCTATACGAAAGCACTAGTAGGCCCTTAGAGCTGGCCACCCCTTCCGCTATGCTCTCTACCGCCTAGTGTTCAATAAGTGCATTGAACAAGCATTCAGTGGGGAAAACTGGCGCGAACACACAGGAAAAGCGGACCCCGTTCCAAAATGGGACAAACACAAAAGAGGCAAAAGACAAGCTCCTCAGAGACGCCTCTTGGAGCTGAACGCTATACAGAGAGACGGTCGAAGTGCTGTGATTACTACGGAGATCCTCCCTGAATCACATCTTTCGAAAATCTGACTAAGAGCCTGTAGAGATTTCACCCTGCAGTTTTTCTGGGCATTTCACAAAGCCAGTTTTCCTCGAATGCACCCTTCCTCCAGCAGCTGCCAGCGAAAATTATTCGTAATCCCACCGAAGATAAGCCATGTCGCCACGATCACCTACTGCTCACCTTCCTCTTCTTTTTGTCCCACACTAATCTTGTTAGTCGTGTCCATTCCCTTCTTTCTGCGGCATCCTCTACTGGGAGTTGATTTCGGCGAGGGCGAGACTTTGATGCTACCCTCTTATCTTCAGCTGAACAGGGGATGTTTCCATGACCACTCCGACGTATTCGTTTGCGTTCCAGTTGTGTTCAATCGCAAGTCCATCCCAATATCCTCATTTTAGCCCAGTGATGTTGTCTCTCATGATTTTTGCTCCAACACTCGCTGGCCGTAGATCGTGGCAGCACTATTACTCTCTGTAACTTCAGCTCAATTTGCAGATGAGGGACTTGTTCTTTTCCACGTCACGCTAGAGCCCGTTCTCCGCCAACACCTTCTGCCACCTCTACAGCTTGCCCTAAGTTCTTCGCTATTCTCCGCCATCAGGACGATGTCAAGTGCACAGAGAAGGGTTTCACTAGCTAATCCATAGGTCGTTCTCTGGTAACATCCAGTACTATCCAGTGTTACTAGAAAAAGGATCGGGTTCAGAGCTGATCCTTGATGAACACCAGTCTGCAACCCTTGTTAAGCTGTGAGGAATGAGCACAGCTGTTTTGCACCCTACACCCGTACATGTACTTGTACTTGCCAAAGAGGACCAGGTGTTCTCGAGCTTTTCCTTTTCGAGCACTTTTATAGGACAGGTCGCTGTAGAGCGTCGGGCGTCTCCTAAAGGCCCAGTAAGGTCAGGAAGCAGAATCTACGTTTTCCTTGACACTTCGCGATCACTTCTCAAGCTATACAGATGACATCCGTTGTAGAGTTTCTAACACGAAGCCGTACTGCTCCTGTGGAATCGAGACAGACCTGTCCTCCACGCATCTCGCACAGTTCCTTCAGTAGTCACGATGTTCAGGAATCGAGTGAGCCATCCAATCTAATGAGGTTTTCCATAATGAAATTGCACCCCATACGGACCATCACTTCTCCAGCCTTCATCTTCCCTGTCACCTCACAGACCTCACCCTCCGTCCAGCCTGTCTCACCTGGGAGCTGTTTCTGTGGTGAAGTTCACCTATGCTCAACAAAGTTTCCTCCCCTCTTTCGCTTCACCTCACAAGAATTCGTCAGTAGATTAACATTTAACGCAACATTTACCCTAACCGCATATATCAGTACCAAAAAATTGGAACAAATAAGCAAAGGTAATCGGAGCTCGTAAGCAAATATTTAACAACTGCGACTATGAAAGGTATTAGAAGATCGAGAAAAAAGAGTGGGGCCAAGCAAGATTGTGTTGAGCCTAAGTTTAGATCAAGCACAACGGCCTCAGAGATTATTGCAAGGGCTGCATTTGAGAAAAGTAATAGTGATAGACGAATTAGGTCACAAGGCTGAGAAGACCTCAGATGATAAGCATCTAGTGCCGACGGCATTGAAAATATTCTTCGGAATTTTGTCTACGTACCACACTTTATGACAATTTGGTGCTTCAGCCTAATTCTCACCCAACCAAATACTTTGGAGAAAAGAAAGAAAGGAAATAAAGTAGGCAAAGACACAGAAATACTGAAATTTGGTAATCGCAACGTGGGAAAAATGGATGAAATGACTGCCGTGTGTGTACACACGACAATGTTACGTGTTAATATCCTTTGAAAAAAGTTCGAAAGAGTATGGGAAAAGGACAAAAATATAATAATCATAGTTAGTAAAAAAGAATGAAGGTAGCCACCGAATGAGAACAAAGTTCAGAATTGGCATCAATGGTGGCGAACATACCTGGATGGATCGAGACAAAGTTATGACAGAAATTTCAATTCCAATTCCAGTTACCATGAAGGCATTTTGTCGATAGAAACAATTTCCAAGATATTAGTTAAATCAGATTGAAGATAGAAAGTTGAGACATGGGAATAAGGAGAAGAGGTTGGGAGGAAGAAAAGAAAGTCTATTTTGATTTCATTTAGTATGAGTGTTTCAAGTACTGTAATACAGTCACATTTTCCAATTTCCTTGTAAAATAACTTATTGACTTTAATGGTCATGTATTTTTGTATAGTAGTGAGAATAATACTACTAGTTTACTATCAAATGAATTTGAACTCAGACACGCCCTGCACCACCGTAAAGAGGCGTGAAAAACGTTCAACCGTTCATGAAAAAGATGAAACAGTAGAGTTTTACAAGAAGAGATTGAAAGTATGAAAAAAGATAGAAAAAAATCAAAAAAAAAAATCGTCGAGACGGGAAACCCGCCTGGTGGGCAGCATCGATTCAAACAACGGGCGGCCCAATACCTGATTCGGCTGCGTGACCCATGGCTAACAGCCCGCTCCAGGATTATTTCTTGTATTTCTTTAATATAGTATTATTCAGCTGGAAATCGTAAGTCTCTCCTAAGGCGTTATTCCATTTC